GAATAGAAAAAGAGAGGGAAAAAGAAGAGGGAAAGGGAAAGGGAAAGGGAAAGGGAAAGGGAAAGGGAAGAATGAAGGCAGGGAGACTTTGGACACGAATGGTGTGTGGCTTTGGTGCTCATATGCCCCAAGTGAAATGCACGTATTCAGGGTCAAGGCCTCCAGGGATATAAATGGCGAAGAACGGGGTGGGGAATGCAGTAAAACACGGAATAACTGTCGTGGGGTTTGCCTCGTTAGTGAGCTCCATGCGCAAGTAGGACGTTGCTCCAGCAGCAGGTGGGTGGGCGCCGGGCTGTGCTGCTGCTGCCGCTCCGTGGCAGCCGCCCGGCACTGCACGAAGGCTTTCCTTGGACGGGAGAGCTCTTGCTGTCCTCCCTGCGTCCCTCTAGGGCACACAAAGGCCGTTATTCAGCTCCTGCGTGTGGTCCGTGGCCGAGCATTCCTGCACCCGTCACGGCAAGCTGGATTGCGCAGCTTTTTGCCGGGCCAAGGAGCACGGCCTCGGCTTGGCAGCCACATGGTGGCTTTTGCTGTTGAGAAGAGCTTCATGCTCCAGGCTGGAGGGGCGGGTGGTCGTTCTGGGGAGTCTGTGTGCTCTTCCTATGCACCTTCCTTGCTGCCCGAGGAGGATGGCCCCGACGGTAGGACCTGCGATGAAGGGACAGCTGGTGCTTAGCACATGAGAGAGCAGAAACTGATGTTTGAAAAGGGAGTTCCTGGCAGTGGAGAAAGTAGCTCACGGCCCTATAGTTATGAATCAACATGTGCCAAAGATGGAGCAGTCACAGATGTGGTTTGCATGACTGAGGTGGGGCTCAGGAGCCTTTCTGGGTGGATTTCCACAGCTTACTGAGCCAGGCATACCACAGGATCATGATGCCTTTTCTTCTTCTCTGCCTTCTGCTTCTAGTCTCATCAGAAACCAAGAGGTGAAAAGCAGCTTGAAGCTTACTGGAGCACATTTACCCAACATGCTCTTTCATTTGCTGACCAGCTGGCACTGGCTGGCTTCATTCCCTTTGGTTCTTGCAGAGACATCCGAGTCCCATTGAAATGGGAGAGCTTGTTTGGTCCCTGCCCTGATCCTCAGCCCTCTAGAGACTGCACAAATGTTCTGGCGGCCCTTGAAACACAGCAGAAGGCTTGCTCGCTTTTACTCTGCATTGTCCACTCGTAGGTGCAGTTTGAGTTGATCACAGGCTAGGAGTCGTGTGTCCATGTGTTAATGGTGCAATGTGTTCAGCTTTGGGCTCGATGATCTTCAAGGCCTCTTCCAACCAAAATGATTCTGTGGTTGTGTCAGGGGAGGTTGTTCACTGAGTTTCTTCTGCTCTTCCTCCACAGTTCATTCCAATGCCTGTGCTCTATGGTGTCTTCCTCTACATGGGTGTTGCTTCCCTCAATGGTGTACAGGTGAGTCCCTTCCCCACTCTTCTATTCTCTGTTGATGTGATGTCTGCCCTCATCTCTATTGATGTGAGTTCCAAATTTATTTGGGGAAAAAAAGCATTATTTTTAAATGCTGAATGTTCTTCCTTGTCAGGAGCGGGGCAGGGGAGGGTGGCAGAAGTGACCCAGAGTTTGATGCTGACCATAGTTTGGGCATTCATCTTGTTTTCTCTGTTTGTGGGTAATGAAATGATCCCTTCAAGAGAAAATCATGTCCACAGTGAGTCAGGCCAATACTTCTGGAGCCAGTGGAGGAATTTCCACCAACACCTTTGCTCTTTGGTTTACACACTAATCATCAGAGGACATGAAGTCCTGCTTCTTAAAACACGATCACCTCAAGGCCTTGCTTGGGGAGACACTTTGCTCCCCTGTCTCTGTTTAATTACCGAAATATAGTGTGGACCTTCACTTGAGACAATGGAGTTGACATGTTTAGTCCACCCTGCGTTAAGCACAGGTCAGGATAGAGGAGCTGTGCTGGGTTTACTACTGGGTTTCTTTTATGAAAGAAAAGAAGTTGATTGAAGGTCACACTTTACAGCGTGCTTTTGTATCTCTTTTTGTGTATCCCAGGTTTCATTTAAATGTCCTTTTCCTTCCCTTTCCAGTTCATGGATCGTCTGAAGCTGCTCTTGATGCCTCTAAAACACCAGCCCGACTTTATCTACCTGCGCCACGTCCCGCTGCGCAGGGTCCATCTGTTCACCTTCCTGCAGGTGGTGTGCCTGGCCCTCCTTTGGATCCTCAAGTCCACCGTGGCCGCCATCATCTTCCCTGTCATGGTAGGGGACAGGCTCCGTCGCATCCCTCCCTTTCCCAGCCAGGATCCTACCTCCCACAGATGGGCAGATCCAGCCTCTCCCTCTCAGATCCCTGGCTCAGGGCTCTGCCTGGTGGCACTGATGGAAGACAGCACTGTTGGGGGTCACTGTTGCTTTGGCTACCTGTACTTAAATCCTCTGGAGGGAAACGAGCCTGGAAAGTTAATTTTTTTTCCAGAAAGGTGGAGTTAGTTTTGACCATTCCTGGCTGCCAAGGTTAGATTCATTGTGTTTTCTCCTTGAGCTGCATGAGCAAAGGAGAGGTGCCTAGTTTTCCTTTATTAGTCCATGCTAATTACCATGCAGAAAATGTCTCCCTCCTTTTAAACAGCACAAATTGACACAACCAAGAACAAGGCATGCTGCTAAGAGGAGGGAAGGGATTAGCTAAGCCAAGAGCCAAAAAGAGAATGTTTTTTTCCTTCAACTTGAGTAAAAAGACAATTATGTTGAGTCATGTGTTTCACATCAGAGGATATAAGTTTATAGGGTGCATATCTTTTTCCTATAATGCATATCAGAGTCATGTTAAAACTTAATTTGGACATTGAGAGACAAAATGTTGATCACACCAAAGAACTGTTTCTGAAGTACACACTGTGCAGTCTGATACAGTATTTCTACATCAAGGAAGGGGAAAAATGAAACCACTTGCTGTAAGCTCAGGTTCTTACTAGAGCTACAGACACAACGGGGCACTTACACCAAATAAAAATTGAACAAGTGTTAAGGGAAGTTTACATGCACACTTAGCCTCAGGCATCAAAACCTGACCCTGCGTCAGACCCCAAAAAGTCAAAGCTCTATGAAACTCCTTTAAGAAATCTAGGCCCAGTGTCACCTAGTTTCAGGCTAAAGGAAAAGTGAAATGTCGGTTGTGGGTGCAGTTCTGAATTTATTTAAGGGAGTGAAGGAGGGAAAGCAGGAAACAGAACAAGGGCAAGCATTTACTCTCTGATGGTGCTGAAATGAGGAGAGGAAAGGTGATGCAAGTAAAAAAGTCTTCCATATGTTCTTGCTGGAACGCATGTTCATATATAAAGGTGTTAAAAATCAGCAGTTCATTGTAGTCTTGCACAGAAAAAGCTTTTCCTCCAGTTTTCCACAGCCACAATCCTAGTAAACTTTATTCTGCCTGTTCTGAGGGCACAGTTTGGCCTTTGTCTGGTTTCTAAAGAGTCCTGGGGGAAGCCGTGAGAAAAAGTGAAGGCAGTTACTTAGCCTGCCCCTGTGAACCTACATGCATAGGCTGAATCCAAAAAATCAACACAAATACTCTCTTTTTTGTCTCTTTATTGATTTTTGTCTCTTTATTGATTTGTCAGTCGGATGTTAAAAGATGACCTTTGTCTCTACAGGAATTTTAAGTGATTACATACTTTTTCCTGTATGTTGCTCAGACTTTCCAGCTGATGGAGTTATCCCAGGCATTCACCTTGTTCTCTGCGTGCTCACTTACAACCAAAATTGAGTGTCTGGGATTAAGAAGCAGCATTCAGAGCAATGTTCCAAACTAAAGGTAAAATGTGACTGAGAAGTCCCTCTCTGCCTTTGCAGATCCTGGCACTTGTAGCAGTCAGAAAAGCCATGGACTACCTCTTCTCCCAGCATGACTTGAGCTTTCTTGACGACGTCATTCCAGAAAAGGACAAGAAAAAGAAAGAGGATGAGAAGAAGAAGAAAAAGAAGAAGGGCAGTGTGGACAGTGACAATGATGATGTAAGGAGTTTTCTGTTCTTGTCAAATGACTCCTTTCTAGTGAGCAAATCCTCCGGGGGGATGGCCCACAGCCCTCCCCACCTGTGGGGCTGGCCATTTCCCAGCCTCTTCTGAAGCCCACCAACTCGGTCTTTTGCTGCAGCAGCAAAATGGCCCCAAGCAAAACCTCTTTTCTATATTGCCTTCCCCTTTCCAGACATCAGCAGTGCATGGTAGATGGTACTTACATTGCCAAGAGTGAAATCACACTTTCCACGAGACCAGGGGGTACCTGCTGACATGTTGCACACTTTGCTAGAAAGCCTCTCATCACCCTGCCCTACTCCTCTTTCCCTCCTCCACCTCTCTCCTCAGTCTTTGTCTTTTATATTTTAGGAGGAGAGCACTTTTCACCAGGAGCTCTGCTACTTCTGAATATCTTCTGGTTTTCTTTGTTGATATTTTTTTAATTACTCTTTTAGAAGCCAAAAAAAAGATGTGACGTGTCATATCGCAGGGAAGACTTGCTTTCTGTTGCCACTACTCATGATCTAAATATTTTCAAAGCACACGTGCCCTTCTGCAATATAGTCCTAGGTTCTTCCTCAGGTTGCAGCATGCCCTCAAATAGCAAAATGTTGCTGCTTATGTCAGAACTAAGCGTGGTGACCTGACTAGACCAGATTCTTGTGCCTTAGACTGTTCTATTCTTCACTGTATATATAATAGGAAATGTGGTATATTTGAAGCTATGTCCTCTCTTCTCAGGCTTTTCATGAATTTCAGGTACAGTAATAGATCTAATGGGTAAGAGAATTGATGCAAAATGTTGGTTCTTAACTCTTCTTGGGTTACTTTGCAGCACTTGTTTTTACCAGCTTCCTGAACTTACATAATCAGTTTGATTATTTTCACCCTTTCCCTTCCAGAAATATGTCCCCACAAAGTTTGGGACAGCTTGTTTGCACAAAGTACGAATTAGTGTGACTGATTGCTGCGCTTGTTTAAGGAAAACACAAGCGCCTTGGTTTTCTCTCTGATTTTATGTCAAAAAAATGCATGATCCAAGGAAGGCCAGACAATTTTTTTGGAAAAAGTCTTGGGCTAGTGTAGTTTCAGAGTCAGAAGCGCCGTGTAACGATCTCTTCTCCACTTTGGGGCACTTTTGCCGACTGCAGATACTTTCTCTGTTCACTGAAATGGTGAAATTTTAAGTAGAGCATCAGCATCGCTGTTCCACAAACCTATTACATGAATTTATTTGCACTGAAACAGTGATGTGTTGGTGAGGTTACCTGTCTCTTCGGCTTTGCTCACAGCGTGGCCCCAAACAGATGGAGATCTGCGTATGGCTTTGTCTCCTCAGTGCCCTGCTGCAGAAGCATCTCCTTTTGAGTGATGCTTACCCCTCAGCCTCATAATAATACTGCTGAGGAAACATTTTGCTCTTGGAGTATGAAATACTGCACTGGATGTCAGTTAAGGTTAAAAAGGAGTTTTAAAATAATAATAATAATAAACCAGAGAGAGCAATTGTCTGGCCTCTGTAATGTTTCCCTGCCCTGACTTGAAGGTCTCCCCCACCTCCACCCCAGCGTTATGCTCAGTGCTGTGTTTAGTCCTCTCCCAGACCAAAGGTGTGTTAACATTTCTGGCAAATATCGCCCTACTTCCTTTGCCAGGTTGTGCAATATCAGCCTCTCCTTGCTTATGAGAAGCTCCTTTTATTTAAATTAAAAAAAAAAAAAGAGAAAAACAAAATAATTCCAAGTACCAACTTCTGTTTCCAGCAGCCAACTCCAGACTGGATTGGATGGTTTCTTGTAAGTGGGTGGCAAAGGAGCTGGTGAGGTGGGAAAGAGGGGAAGATAACGATTACACAAGATTATGCTTTTAATCTCTTTTACTTCCATAGCATGGAGGAAGAGGGAACGTGGGGTGCAGTGGGGAACTGGTAGAAACCTGCAGGCAACTAAGCTGGACAGTGCTTTTTTTGGTTTTGCTTCTTTTCCTTTCCTTATTCCTACAGAAACGATATAAAGGATAATTTTAATTTGTGGGAGATGGTAAGACAACGAGCAATGAAAATATTCTAAGACCTTTTACACGTTTCTTTCACAGTCTGACTGTCCCTACTCAGAAAAAGTCCCAAGTATTAAAATCCCAATGGACATCATGGAGCAGGAACCTTTCCTAAGTGATAGCAAACCTGCCGACAGTGAGTAGATCTAACCTCTTGCATGCCTGCTTGACTGACTTGCAGTACAAAAATAGAGAGATATATTTAGAGTGGGGTCTTTTACTTTAAAAAAAAAAAAACTTTCCTATTACTTGATAAGTGTTTTCTTGTGTTCTTTTTGTTCCCTTTTTTAATTTCCAGGCCTCTGATTTATGACAGATTTTGGGTTTGTGAGTGTTTCTTCTTTGCTCTTACCAAATCGTTATCGTTCCTTCTGGTGCCTCCAGCTTAAGCACTTTTATCCAGTTACTAACGGGCCTCTTGGCCACTTGCTCTCTCTTCCTCCTCTCTTCTCTGACCTTTCCCATTTTGTGTTAACCCTGCTGATGGTTCCATTTTTATTTTTTTTTCCTCTGAGACTAGTGTTCTGGATTTGCAACATGTCTAAACCACACCACTGTCCCATTACCATTTGTTTCCTTAGGTGCCAAGCAGCTGCAAAAATCAGCTCTTAAAAAGAGTAATTAAGGGTGTCATTGATCCGCATTGCAAGTGATCAGTTGACCATTAACCTATTTCCCTTCTTAGGTGATTTGCTTTTGTCCTGGTCTGTTTCTTTTTAATTTCTTGCATTAATATCTGCAATTGATGATTATGTTTTTCGTTTTTCAGTCATTTTCACTTGTTGTCTTCTAAGTGAGGAATCAGGAATAACAACCATCCTTAGCTTTTTGCCATTGCTCTGGCTTTTTAAAATACTCTGAGCAGCAGGTGCTGCCTGGAGATAAATACATTGGATTATCTTGAAATGGGAGGGGAGAAATACAAATTATCATAATAAATTAGTACTGTTGCAGGGCAGGAGATTTCTGGGACTTAGGACCTAAACCCAGAGATCTTTAGGTCCTTAAAGTATCATTTAAGAGCTGATCCCCAAGTCCCTTGCCTTTCAGTGGTGGCATTTACATACCTTAGGCAATCTGAAGCATTGTTTGTGTTTCTTAGGTAGAGGAACACTTAGAGATTGGCATTTTATAAGAAAGATAAAGAGACTGTTTAGATATTCCTAACTATTTAGCTACTCGCAATGTTTTGCTGATCAGGAAAAGGAGCAATATCAGCCTGGGGCAACCAAACAGATCCTTCTCATTTTTCTGTGAAAATACCCCAATGTGCTGACAACAAATTGCAGCCAAAATTTTGTCGTGCAAGATTTTATGATCAGATGCACTGTTTTCAACACTTTGACAGCTGAAATAGTTAAGGAAAGGTTAATTCAGCCACAGATCTCTTCTTTGGAATGGCCTTTGAGACAACACCCATGAGCAGAGCAGCAGCTGGTTTGTGTATTTGGACATTTCTCTTTCACACTGGAGAGAAAAAAAGGAGAGAAAAGCCATTACAGGCAGCAAACCACCTATTTTCTCACAAGGAATTTGGGTGTGATAGTGAGCAGAACAGAGTAACTAAAGAGGTGTAGATACAAGGTAAGTGTCCAGACCTAAAGGTGGTGAAAATCTTGAGAAATGAGTCTTTTGGTCATGTTGGCACTTCAAGGGTTTTTATCTTGGAGGAGAGAAAGAGAAATGGAGTGGTTTTGTTTACAAGCTGTGAAACCCATCTGGCAGGCAGGCAGTCAGCTGTGAAAAAGCTTTGCCAAATAGATGAGAGTATGCTGGAGAAACTGAGGCTGGGCTTGAGGAGCCATAAGAGCTGCAGGCGATGACAAAACAGACTTTCTTCCCTCCCTGACAGGAGAAAAATCACCAACATTCCTTGAACGCCATACGTCGTGCTGATACAATTCCTTTCCTTCAGTCACACACCATGCCAAGGTAAGCATCCAAAAACCACACTTGATAGTGGTTCCTCTAAAGCATCTCTTCTCCTGCTTGGTATACAAAAAGTCAATGAGACAAAGTTTCTGTCCCCTGTAGAGGAAACTCTTAAAAATCACGTTGAGAAAATCCATTTTCCCGTGTCTGTGGTGGAAAATAAAATAAGTAATAACTTGCAGTTGCAGCAAGGAAGAGTTAAGTAACAATTTCTCAGAGCTCAGCCGCAGCTTGGGGCCACCTTGGGCCTCCCAGTGCCAGGGGGCAGCTCTGAAACAAGGGAGCAATAATCCTCTGAAATGTCAAAGAAGTGTCTACCCTTCCCAGGGGTCAGAGAGCGTGTGAAGTTCAGCGCAGCAGCTGTAACCCCATTACTTCAGAGGCACTTTTGGGAGTGTTGACACAGCTTGGTGCAAAGCCCAAGTGCTGGGCACAAGGAAATCAGTGGGTTTGTCTCCTGACATGAGCAGTGTTCAAACCAACTCATTAAAATAAGAATTAAAATGTGATGAACAGGCCTTATCTGAAGACCAGCTGTATATTAGCACTGCCTGTCGGGGTTATTTCCTTGGTACCCGTATGCTGCCAGTTTCAGAAAGCTGCCTTGTGTGAGCTACTGCAAGGGACCGGTACTGGGGGTCAAGCAGTCGTCCCATTTCTAGACACGACACTCTCACTTGGGCCTTCCAGCAAGCCCCAGGATCCACAGTTTTCCCAGTCGACACCAGTTGCCCCTCTGTTTTGTTTGTAAATGCTGGTTTTCTCTTGCAAGTTGTGGCTTGCTGTTCTCTGTCAGGGTTTGGTCGCTGGGAAGCTGTGCCAGCAGAAGCCCTGAGCACGGCAGACCGCGCCAAGTCGCCCCTCGCTTACCTGCTCTTTGTTTTTCTTCGCAGCCCTCCACGAACTCCAGTAAAAGTTGTGCCTCAAATTAGAATAGAACTTGAGCCTGAAGACAATGGTTATTTCTGGAGGAGCAAGGGAACAGAAACTGCTTTGTAATTTGTCTGTCCATTCAATCTTTTATGGGATTTGTTTTGCCACTAGCCAAACATTAAAACGCTCTCTGCTCCCCGCGCGCATAGGTACCGGAGACGCCCCGCGCCGCCCCTGCGCCCTCATCCCCGCTGAGCTCCTGGGGTCCCTCTTCACCCCCTTCCAGCTGATGCTGGAAAGTGCTGCTAACACTAACTCGCTCTCAAAGCCTGTGCTTGTAGCTGACGCAGGAAGGACAAGGAGAAGGTACTTCACTCCCGGCACAGACGAACCATTGCCATCGTTGTAGCGTGTGTTTTGAAATGTCCCTTTCCTATGCAATTTTATTTTTTGTTAGGTTTGTTTGGTTTTTTTTTTTTTTTAAAGAAACACTTTAATGGACTGAATCTGTCAGGTACATTGAAGAGTGTTATTTTCCTCGATTATTTTGTTTAAATTATGGGGGCCTAACCTATGACTTTTTTTTGTCAATTTTTTTAACCTTTTTTTAATTACTGTAAAGAAAAATTAATTTTTCCTGCAGCAGGAAACGTATAGTTATGAGTAGTTCTACCTCTTATTTCTAGATGCCAGGCTTTCTGTAAAAAAAAAAAAAAAAAAAAAAAAAATGTATTGTACCATATATAATGTGATTTTTACAAAAACAAACCACAAAAACAAAACATCACAATCTCCAGGACATGGCACAGGGCTGGATCAGTTTGATTAACACCTTCTACTCTGAAGCATCTGTTTTACGTAGGGTTATGTTATTTTAATTTTTTTATAAGTAATCTAACTTTACTATGAAGGAGAGGGGATGTAACTTCAATCTTCCGTGATCTGGGAAGAGTCTTAAATGTAACAGTGGTCAGCAAAATACTGACTGGCTCCCGACGTCAGTGGACAGATGCTGATTGTATTCGTGTCGGTGATTTCCTACACGGTATCATTCAAATTATTTCCTTTCAAACACGGGTGTGTGCACATGTGGAGTGTACTTGAGACGGTCTTGGGCCCACTTTGGGCACGGTGGAAGAGAAGGACAGCTGAAGATGGCTGGCTGGGATGTTTGTCAGACTCACAAACATCTACATCCTCCAGCATCCCACCTCTGCTCACCATCATCTACAGAATTTACCCTCAGTCTTGACCATTCAGTCCTAGACCCCGTCCATCCACCCATGGTGATGCATCAGTACCGAGCAGCCTGGGCATGGCCAAGGCTGTTGATTTTAAACCCCACCTTGGCAAAGATGATTTTTTTCTCTGTAGCATGTCTCCGTATGTACTTGTGTGTCCATGTCAACATGCATTTGGGAAATGAAGCTTCACCAAGACATTTCCTTGATGTAACATGCTAAAAAGCTTCATTAAAAAAAAAAAAAAGAAAGATAAAAAAACTCAACTGTACAGGCTAATTCCCCAATGGAGGAAAATCCCACCGCAGAGGGCATGCGTGTCGCTGCTGCTGTTGTCCTTGCAAAACCAAAGCCTGTGTTGGTTAAGTAAACAGAATTTCATGATGGTGCTGAGACCTTACATGCCAAATTTTTAGCATCTACTCACTTGTAGTAGCCATATTGTTAATGAAAGGTTGGACCAGATGATCCTTGAGGTCGCTTCCAACCTGATATTCCATGAGTAGGGCTATTCTTTTCTTCCCCAGATGTGCTGTAGAAGCAGCTGGCCACCTCATATTCCTTTTGGTTAGAGGATGAGTTGATAAGGACTGAGATAGCATGAGCTCGATCTGCTGCAGATGGTCATTGCTACAGAAAGACGATGGAGCTGCAGAGGCACCTCCACAGCACACACATGTACACACACCTCCCTGTATTCCCCGACTCCTTCTTGAAGAGTCTTCTGCAAAATGTGTGTTGACTCTCAGATGGGAATCCTGGGAACCTTTTGCTTCATAAAGGCCAGGGAGACATTGGGAGTGTCCAGTGAAGGAGCCATTCCTCTACCCTCTAAGCTGATCCCTTCCTCTACCTGGAGGATGGATAACCTGGGAAGTGCAATGCCCAGCTTCAACCAGCAGTTTCCATCCCTTGATGAACATAAGTCTCTGGTACGGACTTGAGTGTCACCTGCAGAGTACACAGGAGCTGGTTGTGTTTTGCCCAGATCTTTGATTTTGTAGGAACCCCAGTAACTGATGGAGGAAAGATGAAACCAGGCTCGGCAGGCAGGGCACCGCACCCACACCTCACACACAGCTTCACGTCTGCTGGTGATGAGTCTCCACAACGATGAGGTCTTCCACTTCCAAACCGTGTTAAATGGACTTGAAATGTGTTGACTGCTGATCTAGATCTTTCTCTTTTTTTATTTTTTAACCCAAGGGAGCTGTGGTACAGAAGGGAGCGCTGCTGAAGGGACGGGACAAAGGTTTCTGTGGCTTTCGATGAAAAACACACAGCTCTGGTGACAGGAGCTGGAGATGTTTCCTTCCCAGGTGCCTGACACTAGCACTTCATTGGCGGTTGTGTCTCTTTTCTTGGATTTTCCTTTGAAAAACAAAGCAAAACCCAACAGCAGGAGAGCAACCAAAGAGCTCTGCTGGCACCACAAGCCAGTGGGCAAGGGAGAGAGGCACAAGTAGAGTTTCACTGCACTTAATGTAGAAAATAAAACTTTTCTGTCAGAGTTGGGTGTTTTGAGGGAAAAGCCTGGGTGAGCGCTTCTGGGAATGGGTGTGGAGCCTGACCCAAAGCCCTCAGAAATCAGAGGTGACCACCAAGGAGTGAACTCCCCAGAGCAGAACAAAGGTAGGTCCCACCTCGTGGTGGGACCCTGTGACAGCCACCCAGCTGCAGCCAGCTTTGTCCCGGCCCCGGGTGCCTCTGTAGCCCACGCTCACTTGTCATCGTGGCTGATACATCTTTGTATTTTTATTATTGTTGGGGGTTTTTTGAATCAACACGCACTTTCAGATATTTCTATTATTGTTTTTAATTCCCGTAAGTCTGTACTTGCTTTGGAGGAAAGAATAAAAACAGTATAAAATGAAGTGGATCAAGATGGTGGAGCAAAAAAAAAGGAAAAAAAAAAAAAAGAAAACATTTCAGTATAATAAAATGATTTTTTTTTCCAGTAATATAAAACATGAAATTCCTTATAACATTATAGTATTTTACAGTTTTATGGAGCTTTCTATTGTGACTTTTATGGAATCAAATGATGAAGATGATGAGATATTTTAGCATTTATATTTTTCAAAATTAAATGTATACTGAAAATAAAGTAACTTTATGCATTTATTGGTGAGCTTGTGTGTTTGTTTCCTTGTTCTGTATTCAGTCCTGTTTCACTGAATCAGGATCCCCATGTCACTGTGGCTGTGATCCCTGTTTCCAAGGGAATATCCTCAGTGGGGTCTCCCAAGGGAGAGCTCCCACAGATATATGTAGAAAGTGGAGAGAAGTCCCTTAAGAAATCATAAAAGTGTTTAGGATGCAGAGAAGGCCCTCAAGGGGCTCAGTGCCATGGGACCTTGAGTCAAACCTGGGATTAGACAGGAATGTGAAAAAATGGGTCTGGGAACAGAGATGTGCCCCCACGCACCCCAAATCCAGGGATTGTGGGCACTGTGGTGGCACCAGGACTTGGTCCTGGGCAGTGGTGGGAGATGGGGCTGCTGGAGCATCTCCTGTCCCCGCTTCCATCGAGCAAATACCCCCATGTATGATCCAGCACCTTGTCCATTTTGTCCATGGCATTTTGGGACTGCGGCATGTGTTGGGCAGCTACTTCTGCAGGGCAGCACCAGGATCATCCCCTGGGGAAGTAAAACCCTTAGTCCCTGCAGCTGCAGCAGGCCCTGGGTGGCAGGAGCATCACCTGCGAGCTGCTCCTGTGCCTTATAAATTGCCATTTGCTCCTGCCAGCTGACCAGAACCCTTTGCTGAACGTGTCTCTGCAGGTGTTTGGGGTGTCAAGCTTGCTGCTTCTTTTTGGAAGGCATTGGATGCAGAATGAAAGAAAAATAGAGTTAAGAGGAGGTAGGAACCTGTTTATTTGCTGGTTTTTTTTGTGTAGTTGGAAGTCAATGGCATGGATGCTGCCAGCCCATAAGAGCCAACTTTGGCTTGGAGGTGGCCAAAGTCTCTTTGGGTGATGAGGGGACAGACTGGCCAGGAAGGGCTGCTTTGAGCACCAGGGGTGGTTTGTTTTTAAAACAGGGACTTTACTACTCTCAAATCTTCGGCAATGGGTTGGAGAGCTGCTGAGAGAAAAACACAGGAGGCAAATCTGCCTCATGCCTGTTGCAGCATTGAGGGCAGGAGGAGGGAGACCCAGTAAATGGGATAAAAAGAGAAGCCAAACCAAGAGCATTGCTGCACAGGGAGCAGAAAAGGGAAGGGGTTTCTGCCCAGTGTGACAGAGGGCTGGATGGGAGCCCCATGGGGAGCGTTGCTGGCCCACTCCATCCTCCGGGGTGACATCAGCCGAGAGCAGACATGCTGCCCAGGCCTTCCCAGAAGTGATGGGGTTTACAAAACAAATTCTTGTGTTGTTTGTTTTTTTTTTTTTAAAACAGCAATTGCTCATTTTTTGGGGTGGTTATTTTCCCCCACGTCAGCAGTGACAGTGGTAGGGGCTGTACCGTCATGGGGTTACTCCCAGGAGCCCTCGCTGGGCGCTGTGCTGGGTTTATTTTGCCCAGACAGGGTAGAGGACATGGGCTTCTCTTTTCCTTTTTTTTTTTCTGTCTGCTGCTGTGGTGCCAACAGTCATGGGCACCTTCTGATGCAAAGTGAATGGGACACGTCCTCAGTGCTGGGCTAGGATGGAGAAGGCTGCTGGGTGTGTGCAGAAGGTCCCAACAGATATGCTGGAGAAATGCCTGTCACTCCAATGAAGTCCTTAAGAATGGATTAAATGTCTTGAATGGCTCAGCAAGTGACTTTCGGTGTCGGGAAAACACCCTTGGGCACCTTCTCGTCGGGAAGCTGCCATGTTAATCAGCACTGCTGGCTTATTTTCTGTTTTGATTTTTATCTATCAGTGCATTTCCTAGAAACAGGCGCACAGTAGAGAAGATGTTCTTGGCTCACTTAATTGTATTCCTCTGTTTTTTCTTGGAAACACAGAAGGTTGCTGTAATTGTTTG